ATTTTCACCACACAAATCTCATCAGTTTCGGAGTCAGAAGGCGAATTAGGAGGTTGAACAAAGACTTTGTCCTGGAGGGAGGAAGAAGAGGTTTTGCTGTGCGCAGAGGGCTGCGTAACGTTCACGGCGTCACCCGGAGGCGTGTCCTGAGGTGGGCGGGACACAAAGGCAGCAGGATGGCCCTGCGGAGACACGATGTTAGAAGTGATCACGCTGACCAGAGGCTGCAGGATTTGGCCCAGTTGATGAATTTCAGCAGACACTGTAGAGATAGCCGACCTCAGCAGCTGGGCTCCTTCCCGTATCTCTGCCCTTGTGGCCGCCAGTTCATTCACCAGCTGGCTTTTGAAGTCTGCCAATCCTTGGAGGAGATCTTCCTGATAGTTTATTTGCTGTGAAGTCGTTTCATCGGGGTACTGAGACTGAGGAACTGGAGAAGCCGCTGTATTCTCCGCAGCCCACTGCGACATCGAGTTGTTGTCCAACGTGTTATCTGCAATGCATAAAAAACAGCAAACTTACTAACTGTTCCCATAATAAATCTGAATTATAGGGCAAATAACGCACACAATGACTTGTATAAAAAGACTGAGAAATCCTGTCCACTGTTGTTCTTCTAAAGCCTTGGTTCTCAACTGGTGGGTCGCGACTCCGTGTTCAGTGGGTCGCTGCATGCCTTCCACTTTTCTAGGTAAGAAGCTCCTCTGCCTCCCCCTAGTGCAGCACTGTCAGTTCTCACACCGAGCAGCCATTCAAAATATGCGACACGGTGCATTGCTTACAGCTCCTTCATGTGTTCTGTAGAGGTGCCTGGATCGGAGTGACATCACATTCTGGCTCCCGGAACCTCTACAGGGCATGCAAGGGAGCTGTACAAGCAATGCACATATAAATGGGGCTCTGTCACAGCACAGCAGCCCACACTGGGCCCAGGCTGAGGATCCACTCCAGTTCTCGTAAGGTAGGGAAATTGGGTGGGCCTTTAAAAATAATTAAATATTGTGTGTATGAGTGTGTATATGTGTGTGAGAATGTTCGAGTATGTAAAATTCTGTCTGTGGTTATATGTCAGTGTTTTTGAGGGCTCGTTCACACTAATACAACGCGTTAAATGCACTGTACCATGCAATCGCACCTACCGTGCATTCTGGTGTGGGATGTGTCTTGGGTTGTCATTAATTTAAATGGTACCCCAAACACACCTCACACCCACAGTTTGTATGCCCGCACTGGAATGCGCTGTACCCTAATTCCGTGCGTTCCAGTGCGGTGCGACTTGAGTCACGACTTAATGATCCAGGACAAATGTGGGTCCTGAGGTTACACAGGTTGAGAACCACTGGTCTAGAGGACACCTTGGTTCAAAGAACATTTCCTAAACAATAAGAGGTAGCTTGAGATAAGGGATTGTAAAATGGTAATTGCAAGTCATCGGTATCAAGTTCCGTATCCCTAAAACTAGCCAATGAGAGTGTCAGAATATTTAATGTTCCTGATATTTGGCGTAGAAGGCAAGAACGTGTCTTTTTACAAAACATCTTAGTAAAAGGGCCAAATGTCTCCTTTCTCACCATTAATGCACATGGTATGTACTAAGTACGTACCTTCTACCGTCTCTGGTGTCCACTGCGGAGCCAAATGCTTTGTCACCCAGTATGGATGTTGGTATTCTGTTCTCTGTTCAGGATCTCCTTCCTTGTTCATCACATATCCGCTCACCCAGTCATTGTGCAGGTCCACACTGGGAGAACGCACTTCCTGACGTATCTTTAGACAAAAAAAAAAAAAAGATTTGCATAAAGTTAAGTTTAAAGGTTTCTGGTCTAAAGTAAAACTGGTATATAGGGTTTCAATCAGGGGCCTGTAATATCACTTAACCACTTGAAGACCGCGGTGTTACACCCCCTTGCTGTCCCGGCTATTTTTCAGTATTAAGCGCTGTGGTACTTTGACTGACGTTTATTCCATCATGCAACACTGTACTGTTATATGTAACATGTGAGGTGTAATGGGCGCAATCATCGTTTTTACACATAGGCACACCCGACGCATGTTTGCGTGTGTATGTGGGGGGGTGGGGGACTTTAAAAAAATGTTCGTGTTATTTAAAAAAAAAAAAATTGTGGACTTTTTTTATGCTTTAAACTTTAACTTTTTTTTTTTTTTTACACTTAAGGAGAACTATGGAGTTAGAGCTTTTCCCCCATAGTTCTCCTTAGGGTAACGGGAGGACACAAACTAGCGTCCTCCCGTCACCCTAGGCTCAGTAAACCTGCGAGCTGTAGCTGCTCGCGGTATACTGAGACGTCGCAGCTGAAGTGGATCCTGACAATTATGTCTGGATCCGCCCAGCTGCGTGACTGACAGCTGGCTAGGCCTATCTAGGAGGCAGAGCCAGCTGTACCCGCCCCCTCCCCATCTGTTCCGCCAGTCAGTGCTGGCAGATCGGAGCGGGGAATCCAGCCCCTCCCCTGTCACGGCAGAAAGCTGTACCCGCTCCCTCCCCCGTCCGTTCCGCCAGTCGCGGCAAAGCCGTGACAGGATCGAGAGGTGAGCGAACGCCAGTATGTGTTCGCTCACCTCCCGATCTACTAAGCCGACCTGTGACAGTCTCATTGTCACAGGTCGGCTAGAACTATGAGGTGAGTGAAAAGCCCTCAGCTCATAGTTCTCCTTTAAAAAGGAGGAGAACTATGGTGTTAGTCTTTTCCCCATAGTTCTCCTTAGGGTAACGGGAGGACACAAACTAGCGTCCTCCGTCACCCTAGGCTCAGTATACCGCGAGCTGTATAACTTGCAAGTACCCGGCAGTGAGGTAGTTGGAGGTTTCGACAAGTTGGAGCTTTCGATAGAACACCGTGACTCCAGCTTGCACGGTGTGATCACCACTGGCACCTGTGCCACTCGCTGTCCACTCAGGCTCTGTTCTCAACTCCAGAGTCTTTGGGACACGAGGTGCAAGGTAAGCCTCCTCACACATTCAGTCTCCACCGAGGTACGTGACAATATGTTACTTCCACACCAGATGATTCTTGCTAGTACAGAGTTGGTTTTGCAGTACACAATGCCTAGCGATAACATGCAGTACAGCTCTCAGTTACTATTTACCTGAGAAGGCTCCGGTTCTGGAGAGCTAAGTGGCATCTCTGCTGGGTTCTTTGGCCTGTATGAGTTGATGAAATCAGTAGATGACTTAAACAGGTCCATCTCTTCACATTGCCCATAATGCACAGGAGAATTCCAGAAGTCACGGCTGAAAATAGTGACCTAAGAGACATACAAAAGGAACGTTCATCACTAACATTTTATGCAAAAGAGAAAAATGTGGCTTGAGATAACTTAGTGGGACGTCCTTTACAGAACCAGGAATGAGGAATGTAGCCATTAAAAAAGGAGGCTGGTTTCAGAGCAAAAGGGAGGCCCTACCTGGAATCAGTACACTGTACTCACCACAACTAGATTTTGAATCTCCCTATTTTATAATTACTGTACGTGAAAATAAAAATATAAAAAAATGATATTTCCCAAAAAAATTGAAAGTGTTGCTCCCTCGCCGGCTGGAGTAGCGAGGTGGTGCTCTCTCGATGGTGAGCCAGCAGCAAGAGTGCAAAACCTCGCTGCTGAAGCCGATGAGGGAGTGACCCCTACAAAGCAGCTACCGTGTTTCCCCCGAAAATAAGACACTGTCTTATATTTTTTTTGCTCCCCCCCCAAAAAAAGCACACTAGGTCTTATTTTCAGGGGATGTCTTTTTTTTAATGTGCAACAAAATGTACAACAATCTAAAGTTATCTGGCATCGCTCTGCCTGTCACAGTAACCGATGCTATAGAGGAAGTATCGGCTAATGCGGCTCTGCTCCCTCCGCCGCTGCAGCCTTGCTTTCTACAGCACCGGCTTCCTTTGCCATCAGGGACAGCGGTGCAGCAGTGGGGACATCAGACAGCGCGGTAAAGTTCCGTACCATTACATTAAGTAGTGCCTTCAGGGGGACAGCAGTTGGTGTAGTATGGTACTAGAGTGCTCCCTGTCACTGCGCTGGCCGGAGGGAGTCCCCTGTCATCCCCTTAATACAGTATGTCCCTGCAAGCTGATACCATCTCTCCTGCTCTTCAAGTTCGCCCTCACATGCTACCACCAAACTAGGTCTTGTTTTCGGGGTAGGTCTTATATTACAGGAATCTTGAAAAATAGTGCTAGGTCTTACTTCCGGGGTAGTTCTTATTTTCGGGGAAACATGGTATGTGTCCTCCATGCATTTGTAATTGTGTAGAGATGTCACCAGAACACCAAAATACTTCTTAGGATAAAAAATAAAATAAAAAAAAAAAGTTCATTTATTGAAGTTCCTTGTCATATAAACAAGTGCTTTCGGGACCACACAGGGTCCGTTCATCAAGCTTAGCATTGATGATGCCCAGCCTGATAAGAGGGACCCTGTGTGGCCCCGAAAGCTTTTGTTTATATGTGAGAAGGAACTTCAATAAATGAACATTTTTTTTTTATCCCAAGAAAGATTTTGGTGTGCTGGTGACATCTCTACACAATTGCTGATAGTTGCGGCGCCAGTCACTGCGAGCCCCCCACCCCACTACAGGGGACTTTTCGTTAAGAAGTGCGACAAGGAAAAATATGTATTTACTCCCTGTTACTCCCTGTATTTGTGGCCCTAAAGAAGAACAAGTCTATTCTGATAGCAATGATTTTATGGGGAAAAAACCCCCCACAACAATGCAATTGAAACTGAAGGTCCATCCAGAAGCAAAGCAAAACTGAAGCGACTGCCCAAAGACAGGACAAGGACGGGAATGCAATACTCAAACCTGATCTTGTTTGCATTTTCCGGGCGGCAGTTTTCTTGGTCTTCCTCGTCCTCGTTTTTTCTCCTAAAACAAGACATTAGTTAGGCAATGCAGCTCTCGTATTGTGGCAATTAAAAACATACTGCAAATGACTAAAATAACCAGTCACATGTGCACTATAGATAGTACTGCAAACTAATCACAGCTAAAAAGGAAAGTATAGAGTATTTTCAGTGAGCGTATAATTGGGGTTAGGGCTGCAACAACTAATCGATTAAATCAATATCAATATTGTGGTTATTATTGAGTTTTATATATTTGTTATAGTATTAAACAGATACAGTATGTAGATTAGCCACCAGAAGGAACTCTCAGCGGCCAAATCTTCATGACTGAAAGAACCAAGTACATTGCTTGCTCCCATAGTTACCCTATTAGTAGCTTTGGAGTGTCTCCCAGCCTCTGGAACTCCCTACCCCAATCTGTCCACTTATCTGCTACTGTGTCCACCTTTAGGCAATCCTTGAAAACTCATCTCTTTAGGGAAGCCTATCCCACCTCAACACAACCGTCCTATTACTTCTTCCACTAACTCAATCTACACAATTATTACCTTTTGTATAACTTGCCCCTCCTACTAGATTGTAAGCTCTCATGAGCAGGGCCCTCCTAACCCTCCTGCACTGAAATTGCATTGTACCTGTACTGTCTCCTTCCATTTTGTAAAGCGCTGGGCAAACTGCTAGCGCTATACAGTATAAATCCTGTATAATAATAATAAAGTACAGCATGCTTTTGAGACAGCGTCTGAGATCAGTCAGAACTCATTGCGAGTCCAGTTGAGCCGCTTCATGCTGCTTTCCAATAGAACAGTATGGGGAGAAAAAGAAGTTCTGAAGCCAACAAAAGCCCATCAGCACCCAGTCTGAGAGTATAGCCACTTACCATGACTATTGCTACTGAAGCTAACCCCGCAGGCTTCATTTTATTTTGTGTTTTGCCGCTCGTCATCCCTGTACTTGTAGTGTCTTTTCTGGGTCTTCCCCGTCCTCTTTTTGTGCCAATAAGCTCTACCAAGGAAGCCTGGAGTTTATTGTTAACCTGAAGAAAAGGAAAAAGAGGTTCTTGTAGAAGATGACTCCATATCACATCACATTCTGCACCACAGAAGGTCAAATTGCACTAAGCTCACCCACACCCAAATGATCCCTCCTGTGATCCGTACTTCCCACCACAACAATAATCCCCATTGTTTGTCTTCTACCCCCCGTATTCTATGAAGGGAATTTATCAAAACTGGGGCTGACAAAATCTGGAGCAGTTGTGCATGGCAACCAATCAGCTTCTCTCTTTCATTTTCAAATCTAAAAAAGGTGCCCATACACCTTGCGATTATCTTACGATAATCGTGGGAAATCCCGCGATCGTACGATAATCGCAAGGTGTATGGAAGGCGTGCGACCGTTACTACTGTACGGCCGCACGTCTTTTGCCTAACGAGCATGTTTGAAAACCCGTCGAGAATCGTACGATTGTCGGCGGGTTTCTGGCGTGCTCGTAAGACAAATGCCGAACGGGCCAGTGTGCGCAAGCGCACACACTGCCCGTTCAGCATTGCAGTCATCGGAAGCCCGCCCCGCTGGATGATCGCAAGTCCGATCTGCCTGTCCAAGATGGGCAGATCGTACAAGCTTTTAATTAGCTTACAACCATCGCAAGACAAAAGTCTTGCAATGGTTGTAAGGTGTATGGGCACCTTTTACTGAACAAACTGAAGAGAGAAGCTGATTGGTTGCCATGGACAACTCCTCCAGATTTTGATGAATTCCCCCCCACCCCCCATGTGTCATATTCAAGTTTTCACCGTACCAGTATGTTTTGCCTTGGGTTCTTCCCTTTTTCATTCATGTACTTTTTCTTTAGATTGGGTTTATAAATTGGAACCTGAGACGCAACTGGTATGTTCAAAGCCTTTTCTGGTAAAAACGGATGAGGTCTCGCACTTTTCTCCGACATCATCACATCTGCCGATTCCCGTGGCCTCATGAGGCCCTCTCTCCTTGAGATCTTTACAGACGTGTTCCCTGAGGCCGCCTCATGTTCAGCGGCGTCGTTTCTTGGGCGCTCCGACACTTTGGCCTGTGGGGTGTCCACCACTTGTATTCTGATTAAACGTGGCCTACCTCGCCCTCTTTTTTCAGGAACGCGTTGTGTTCTTTTCAGCAGGGACTCTATTTGAGAGAGGACGGTGGCGTTTTTTGTGCTTCCGAGAGGTCGTCCTCGCCTTCTTTTCTCCGTGGGCCCTGCCATTCCGAGGGGTTTCGATTCAGCCATGCTGCTGTGAACCCCAAATCTGGCTCCACTGTCTCAAACCTCTCGGTATCTCACTTCTACATCGGTAGACACGTCCCTGTAAAAGTAAGAGGACATTCACGTCTCAAAATATCACCCTGACCGTCCCCTTCGCGCCTCACAAGACCTTCTGCTTTCCAGCTTCCTTGTCAAGTCCTCCCATACTCACCTCCAGGACTTCTCTAGAGTCTCCCCCATCCTCTGGAACCCTTTACCCCAACCTGTACGTATATCTCCCACCTTGACTGCCTTTAGGTGATCCCTAAAGACTCATCTCTTCAAGGAAGTCTATCCCACCACAACCATCACGTTCTCTAATAATTCATCCCCACACAGCTACCTCCTCATGTATCACTGGCCCCTCCCTTTTAGATTGTAAGCCCTCAGGGCGGTCAGGGCCCTCCTTACCATCTTGTATTGTATTGCGATTGTAATGTCTTCCTTATATTGTAAAGTGCTGCGCAAACTGTTGGTGCTATATAAATCCTCTATAATAATTAGGCAGGAGGTAGGGTAGTGGTACACACAGTCTGCAGAGCCCCAGGCTATGAGAAGTACTGTCACCTCTCTATGTTCTTTAGCCATACAGTACAGTAGGGGTGGTGAGAATATGCTACAAATCTTTTAGCACAGGGCTCAAAATGTCAAGTCCTGAGCGACTAGCCAAGCCTTAAAAGTTACTTGCCACCAGTTGCCCCACCTGTCAGAAAAAAACTAATGCACAGGCAGTCGCCGAGTTACGAACAGCCGACTCGTACAGGTCCCAGGCTGTTCCGTGCCGACGTTCGGAGTACTGGAGGGATCCTGGGGGGGGGGGGGGAAAAATG